AAGCCATGTGACTCCCATCTAGGCTGAACTTCCTGGGGGGAAATTCCTTAGCCTCACTGAGTCTCAGTTTGTCAAATACAGCTGAGGGGAGGACTCCCCTCCTACAAGGAGGCAGATAGCTCTCATCACCATCTTCCACCTCATCTTCCTCACAAAGGCTCCAGACCGCACAAGCCAGGTCACAACCCTTCTTCCCACTGCCCACCGAACCAAGCGTACGTTCAAATGAGGGTCATGGTCTTAATTTTGAATTCTGTCTGGGACCCACAGGTTCAAGAGTGAAAATGGGCCTCTCTGCAAATGATCACTGGTGTGTGATATTTTTAAGAAAGCAAAGCCATTGTTTCTGATTGAAGGAAAGTCGGTGCTATTTTGAAGAGTAGTGCGATTAGGCAGTGGCGTTCTCTCTTTCACCATTGGGAATTAGACGCTGTTTGAGAGATTTGTGAGCTCCAGGACATTTGCCAGATGTGCTTGATTCTACATTTCAGACAACAAAGGGGATAATGTTGGCGGGAATCTTGACGGCACTGCTGATGATCGGGATATTCTTTGAGGATGGTACTGAGACCTTTCAGTGGAGGATTTCAGCTTTTACATAAACTAATTTGGGATGCTCACTCTCTATCTCACACAAAGCAAATTTAGTTCATTGTTAGCTGTATCTGTTAAAATGGTTACAAGGGGTTTTTTCCTTGAATATTAATAATGCGCCTTTCATTGGAGACACTCACATGGGGTATCATTAATTGGGGGGAGGGAGTAAAGATTAGGGGCACAGTTCTCTCACAAGTTATTCCTACGAGTGCTGTGGAGGCAAGCAACAGCTACATGAAAGAGATACATGAACAAAATGCTAACATGGCTTTGGTTTATCCTTCCTGAGAAGGGTGAAGGCAATGTGTGTGTTGGGGGGAGGCAGCGTTAGTTAATCTGTCGATTTTTCACCCTATTAAAGGTAATTACCCTGAATATCTTCAAATGCTCCCATATTGGATCACAGCATATAAAGGACCTCTTTTCAAAATAAGGTTCTGTTTGATTTTGAGAGGCTGTGGTGGTTTTGTCTTAAGACTCTAGAGTGGGCTTTTTCATCCATTCAGGAACCTCACTGAGCTCCAGGTGGATGCCACTGACTGTGTTTGGTAGAGAAACGATTATGAATCAAGTATGTCTCTGTCTAAAGAGGAGATTGATGAGCACAAAATGAATTCGTGCACAAACTGGCAAGAAGAAAAGAATAGAGTAATTAAAGCAGCGTCCTGTGACTATAACAAAGTAACTGAGGCAATTAACTTGTAAAGAAAGAAAATCTGTTTAGCTCATGTTGTAAAAGGTTCCAGTCCAAGACTAGCAGCCTGGTTGCTTTGGGCCTCTGTTGAGGGTCACATATCAGTGGAGGGTGAAGGGCGGACTGTGAAATTGCAAGCCAGAAAGCCAAGCAGAGAAATTGGAACTGAGGTCTCTCAGGCCCTTTAAAGGGCATGCTCCCAGTGACCAAAGGACATCCCCTGGGGTTCCACCTCCTGATGGCACCACCTGGGGCACAACCCCTCTTGCCTGTGAGGGATGGTGCCCACATCTGAGCCATGGCAAATAGGCTTTGGGTTTGGACCTAACGTTGTCAACAGCTGTGTGACCAACCAGAAGCAACTTCTGTTTTTAAAGACTTAAAAAAATTTTTTTACATGTCTGTGCTCCATGTATGTGCCTGGTGCTCACACAAGCCAGAAGAGGGTGACGGATTCCCTGGAACTGGAGTTATAGAAAGGGCTCAGAGCCACCATGTGGGGCTGGGAATTGGACACAGATCCTCTGCAGGAGCAACAGCAAATTATCTTAACCACTGAGACATGTTCCCAGTCCACCGTAAGGAAGTAGCCGGTCAGATGCCAGGTGTCACATTGCAAAATTTAGGTTGTGCAAGTTATCTACCTAGAGTAGATTCGAGGGGAAGGTCTTACGCACAGAGCCTGGCCAGGCTCCTCCCCAGAGAGCACCCCTTTCCCAGCCTCGTTATCCTGAGCGGAGAATGTGCAGGGGAAGCCATTCTTCAGGATTATCAGCAGACATGTTGGCCTTTGGCTCTTTCCTAAGCACTGAGGAGGCCGGTGGCAGGTAGAGGAAAGAAGGAAGTGCTGTCTTCGGAAGCTCACTGACAGATGGCTGATGGGTGGACGTGAACACAGTGTGCAACTCACAGGACGGTGAAAGGTGAGCCCAGAGCCCCGGTGCTGTAAGGAAGGAGATCTGTGGACCCCTAACCTTGCCGCAGCATTTTGTTTCCTGAGCAGCACCCCAGAGGAGGCAGCAAGATTACCATAGCCAAGCACACACGCCTCCCGAGAGACTTCTTTGCTCCTCAGCACCCAGAGAAAACATAATAAGCCCCAGGGCCCAACTCACTCCTCCTCCCCACAGCCTGAGTCAGCAATCATCATAAGAACCGCAGCCTCAAGCCACCGCTCACAGAACACCTGGCTGAGCCAGGTGCTGGGCTGTGTAGGCATACACATACCCTCCCTTTTCCCCACAGCTACTCAGAGAGGTGCTATTACCATACCCATTTTATAGATGAAGAAACTGAGACTCTTAGAGGAAAAGTGAGCTTTCCGTGATCACACAGCTTATCTGTGGGGGATCTCAGACAAGAGGCCTGCCACTGACAGGGGTTTTGAGCCATGAGTTTTTAATCATTACTCCACCTCTCCCAGGCCTGGTGCCTTCCATTGGACAAAAGGTCCTAGACAACCTGTTTTGTTGTATTTGCTGTACTTTTTAGAGGGGTATTCACTAACCGGGTCTAGTGGCATTATTTACAGCTTACTGCCTTAAAACCTAAAGTTCCGGGGAAGAATAGAAAGATCACTGATGGGGGGGAAATGGAACAATTCCACTGTTGCCACCCACCACTCTGAGACCTGATGTTCTAAACTCAGGACATCGCTATTCCAGCCGCCAACATACACGGGAGGTTTCCATGAGGCTCAGGGCATGTGAGAAGAGGCTTTTAGGCAGACAGAGTGACTGGTGCCACTGGGGTTACAGCAGGGACCGTGTGCTTCACCTAGTAGCTCAAGCCAGTAAGAGCACTGGACAACCAAACCCAAACTCTGCAGAGTCCCTGCATTAAGAGCTGTGATGGCAGGTTAGATGGTCTGAAACCTTGGCACTACACAGAAATATAACAGATTGCTTTTATCCAAAATAGCAAGCTGTCTGTGAGTTATGTACAGGGAGCTCTGACTTTAAGTGGGGGAGTGGGAGACCTGTGAGGAAGTGTTCTGCCTACCTGCTTTTTCTTCTACAACGACTTGATCAGTTTTCATGGGACCTGTGAGATGCTAGGGACAGTGACAAATTAGGCACAGTCACACAGACCTTGACCTCATGAGATCCCACTGTCACAGGCTAAGTGCTTGAGAAGCTTAGGAGGCCGCAGAAGAGAGGGAGGCAGGCGGGCAGGAGGTAGGTAAGCCAGGAAAGGCTGCCTCCAAAAGTCCTTGGAATCAGCTTAGTGCATACCAGCCAGCCTGGAACTCTAAGCAGGATGGAAAATACTCAACATTGTATGTGCAAAGTACACACATGCACACAGGCTTGTGTTATGTGTGCAGTCATGAGGAGAAACACTCCTGATGTGCCCAAGGGCCTAAACCTTTCCTGTCGCTGTGACAAAATGACAAAAGCAGCTTAAGGGAGAGAGAAATTATCTGGGCACAGTTCTGGCATACAGTCCAGGGGAAGCCAAGGTTGGAGGAGCTTGGGAGACCTAGTCGCATTACAGCAAGTCCAGAACGGAGAAGAATCAGTGAAAGGTGAGCCCTGAAGTGCCCGGCTCTCTCCGCACTCTTACACAATCCTGCCCAGAAAGTGGTGCTAGCCACAGTAGAAAGGTCTTCTTCTCTCAACCAAGGCATTCAAGACAACGCCCTGCTGACATGCCCCCAGGACAACCTGATCTAGACACCTCCACACTGATACTCTCTCCGTAGGTGATTCTGAATTGTGTCAAGTTGATATTTAAAATTAACCGGCACAGGTGAAAAGCCAAACTCAAGAGAGCCCAGGTACTAGAGGTTTTCAAAACCATTTAAATGAATACAAGGGTAGATTTAAATCATCACTAAAAGCCTAGGACAGGCTTACATGTCAGTAATGCTAACTACTCAGAAGGCTGAAACAGGAGGTTTGCGTGAGCCCAGGAGTTCAGAGCTAGCCTGAGCAACATAGCAAGACTTTGTCTCAAAAGAAAAGTTATTTCTCACAGTAAAACAGTAATGCAGGTGCCACAGTTGGGTCACTGTGAAGTCCCATCAGCCTTGGACTCCCTCACCAAAATGGAATCTTGTGTCTGCCAGCTAGCTGAGAGCAGCCAGCCTTCCTGGACTACACGAACCACTCTTCTCTGGCCAGCTCTATGCTTTCCCTCTGTCTGATAAGCTTCTTCCCCATGTCCGAGGTCAATTCCTAGGTACCAGCCGAGATGCCATGTCCTTCTCAAAACCTCTGCTACCTTGGCTCAGGACTAGGGACCCTAAACCACCCTTCACGGTGCCCCCACCCTGTACTTCCAGGGCGCTACCTTTCTTTGATAGCCTGTTCTCCATGTAATTAACTATTCGAAGTCCTCTCTGCTGCCTGTCAGAGCATCAGCTCCAGTGGGGAGGGGCCGGGGTCTAGCTTCTTTCTGCTGTATCCAGCACCAAGCATGGTGTCTAGAACACACTAGGGGTCCACTAATGCTAGATGAAGGCATGCATACAAAAGGATGTGCTTTAATCTCTCAGCAGCACACTTAAGCGCTATCACAGTGGAGCTATGAACGTCCTTGCTCTCCCACTGTGGCAGGAAACAGTCTTGCCAGCCATGAGTTCAAGAAGACATCCAAATAACCCACATTTGCCTCTTTCTTAATGGAGGCACACGCGTGTGCATACACATGTGCAGCCATTCCTGCGGGTGAAGAGAAAAAGTGTTCAGTGTCAGCATGCACCTACCGGCGTTTCTCAGAAAGTGGCCCCAGTAGTCCTTGATGATTCTGGTGGTGGGATTATAGAAGCCATCTCCACAGTCATAGCAGCCTAGAGGGATAGTTCTGGGTGGGTCCATGTTGGTGAGCTGAACGATACCTTGAGGAGGCACAAGGACAATTAGTGTATCAGCAAGGCCACTTGCAAGCCTCGTGTTCAAATCTCACTCCTGGCTGATGCTTATGTGGCTGGTACCACTGTGGGACCAAATGTTCCTTTTGCAGGGTCAAGAGCAAAGTCAGCAGGAAGGAGTTCCAGGGAGCTTTCAGAACAGGGGCTGTGGGCAGGGCCTTGGGAGCTGGACCCCTGCCTCCTCTGACCTCACCCTCATCCATTTCTTGGGACCACCATGACAAAGTTCTGAGGTCTGGGAAAGCCTGAGGGAGAGTAGATCCAAAAAGAGGGTGACTAGACGGGGCACCCTGAACAATTAATAGGGACTAGAGGGAGCCTCAGCTGGCACCCAGCCCACAGAGCACAATTTCCTCCAGTCTCTGTCCCCGATTTCCCACTCTCTCTCGCTCTAAGGCTTACAGTTTTAGCATGGCAGCTGTCATTTGCCATGCATCCATCATGCATGTAAAACACTGTTCTAGATGCACACTCTCTTATGGCTGCTGGACTAGTAAGGAAGAAAATACTTCTGCCCTGATTTAGAAGGAGAAATCTGAGGTACAGAGAGGTAGAGTCTCTTGGTCTCATTCCCCTGGCCAGCCCTAGTGGGGATGAGGTGTGAGGACTGGCTTTCGTAGCTCTCTTGGGTCTGCTGCACCCATCACCCCTTGAGAAGATCAGTGGGGACTGGGCACTCATCTCTAGCACCCCTAGACCCCCACTCTGTCTATGTGTGCTACCTGAGGGCTTCAGGCCAAAGCAGATCTCGGTATAGAACCTCCGGTCATAGCTGTCACAGTAATGCCAGTGTTTGTCCTCGTACTGCAGTCCGTCCTGGAACGTATACTTGCCCTGGGAGAAGAGAAGCACAGGGCACCAGAGGAAGCCAAAGCCAAAGCCCTTTTGGGTGTTAGCAGGGGAACAGCTGGATCCTTGCTGCCACAAGAAAGAAGTGACAACTGTCACAGTGGCCTTGGTTGTGAGGATTAGTGGAGGCAGAGAGACAGCGTGCTTGACACAGAAAGCATGGTGACTTTGGGGTGGGCTGGGCAGGTGACCTACTCTCTCTGCTCTCAGGTTCCTTCATGGACAGAATTAGGATGATGACAGTATCCCTCTAAAAGGAATGGCTGGGATTTTGGTGAGATAAGTACATGCCAAGCTTAGCTCTGTGTCTGTGTGTGTCTGTGTTTGTATCTGTGTTTCCCAAAGAGATTAGCATTTGAGTCAATGGATCTAGTACAGAGATCATTCCCACCATCATGCAGATGGGCACTATCTGATCTGTTAAAGATCTGATCAGAAAACGGGGCAGAGGAAGGACCACTGTGCCCTTAGGCATGCTGGGATACCCATTTCCTTCTGGGCTTGGGCATCGGCACACCTGGCCTCTGCCTGAGACTCATCCCACTACATCTCCAGGTCCCCAGCCTTTCAGTTTGGACCAGAACTACAATGTTGGTTTCCTCTGGGCTCTAGCTTGCAGAGGATCAACTGTGGTCCAGCTTCCATTAGCCAAAGTCTCATAATCTCTTCTTAAGTATCTGTCGGTTCCCTTCTCTGAGCACAGAAGAAACACTTACACATGCCGTTATTTTTCTCTTATTATTATAATAGCTAGAGAGGTCAGAGCCGGGAGCCACAGCCTGTTGTTCAGACATGTGCATTCTCTTCTTGTTGCTTCAGTGCTAAAGGGAGCCTCAGGATGTAAGAAATGCACCAGCCGAGGCATCAGGAAACACGGGTGGAAACTCCCACAGTACTATTTGTTCACTGTGTGACCTTGAGCAAGTCACATCCCTTTCCTGAGGCTTAGATTCCCCCAAGCTATAAAAGAAAAAGCATTAACCTTTTTTTAGGTCATGAGTCAGGCCCAGCACTCTCTCAAGGAAGCTTGTGAGAGCACAGATCATTTTTTCATAGAAAAGCCACAGTTTCATATCCACAGAGGCTGTGTGTGTGTGTGTGTGTGTGTGTGTGTGTGTGTGTGTAAGTCAGAAGGTTCCACTGACCCCAAGTTCTACTCATGGCCCATAAACCCCAAGATCAAAACCTTCAGAGCAGAGAGTAAATGCTGATACTTATTGAGTACCTACTGTGTGCTAGAAAATGGCTCAAAAGCTGACCACATCTGCAGGAACCTGAGAATGTGTTACCCTGCGTACTTTTACTTTTCTGGAGTCACCCAATGTGAGGTTTCTTACAAGACAGAGGCAGACAGGTGAGGGGATGGAACGACAGGAGCAGGGGAGAAGAGACAACTTGGGCTGTAAGCAGAGTGTAGAGTGATTCCTGGTCATGGAGCCAAGACATGCAGACAGCTTCTAGACACTGAAAAAAAAAAAAAAAAGTGTGAGGACACAGATTCTCCCCTAGAGTCTGCCCTGGAAGTCTTTCCAGTTCCCAGAACCACAAGGTGGTAAGTGGAGGCTGACTTAAGATGCTAACTTGGAGGGTAACCCACCATGGCAGCACTAGGTAGCCAAGATGATTGTCCCTAGTTTAAGAATGAGGGACATGCGTTTTAGAGGTGTAGACTCATTGGTCAAAGATCAGGCAGGAAATGGAATGGCAGGATGGAGGAGATCCTAGAGTCCTGGGAGAATGAAAAGTAGGGGAAAGAGTGAATGGAAAGAGGTAAGCAACAGGCAAGAGGATAAGGTGCTAAAGCAGGCAGTGAGGGCTCTTCCTGCCTGGGACATCCCCCAAGGCTTAGCTGGTCACCTTCACCACCAGTCCTTTCTCCCAGGTAGCATCGAATTGGCTCCCACTGGGGAAGAACAGGGTTCCTTCTCCGTGGAACATGCCGTCCTTCATCTCCCCGACATATTTTGTATCAGTAGGGAGGATGTATTCTGCCTGGCCCTCCATCCTGTAAGGACACGAGAAGCCACTGAGCTCTTCATGGCAGCCAGGGAACAGAGAGAAGACGTTGGTTCTCTACATCCTCATCGTCATCATCCCTCAATATTCTGTCAGAGCTTTTGTGGTGCTTTGTTTTCATCAAAACCTCAAAGACAGAGCAACTTTTGGTCTGCCATCCTCTCCTCCCTGAAGCCTGTCCTGGATTTTATGCTGTTAACTGAAATATCTTCTCCGTAGGCTCAGAGAAGGCTAGGCTGCATCAAAGCTACAATTAGACCCTGTGAAGAGACCAGCAGCCCAGGGAGCTGATTTGGTGTCTCCCAAGTCTGTTATGAGCAGCCTAGCTGTGCCCATTAAGACACAGTAGTCTCGCTTTTTAAAATCCTCGTTCTGCCGTATGTTAGTTTGGGCAACCTACATAAACCACTCTGCACCTTGCCTTCCTTTTCTCACTTGTCAAACGGGAATCACCATGAGGAGGAGATGGTGCACAATGGGCGCTATAAAGTGCGACGGTCTTCCTTCATTCCTTGTTGCTGGAGCAGACTTATCTAGAGCCTAACTATTCAGTGTTTCCAACAGAAACCATGATCATGAGGTCAGAGATGCCTACATTATAGTCTATATGTACGTATGTATGTATTTTTGAGACAGGAACTCACTCACTCTAGCCTGTGCTGACCTGGAACTCATGTAGCTCAGACTGGCCTTGAGCCCATGGCAATCCTCCTGCCTCAGCCTCTCAAATGCTGAATTTATAAGCATACGCTACCATATTAGGTTTTTCATTTTTATACTTAGATATGGTACAAGTAAATCACAAATTTTAATGTTTTGTTAAAGCAGCTTTATGAAGCATAATTGACACACAAAACTATGCACATACTTAAAGTGTAAAATGTGTGAGTTTTGACACATATTCTGAAAACCATCATCACATTCAATATAATTAAAATATCCACCAAGGCCAGTTTCTACATATTCTTTCTTTAATCTTTCTTGTTTGTCCCTCCCATTCTTCATCCCTAAGCAAATACTCATCAGTTTTTCTGTCACCATGAATTTACATTTACATTTTCCATAATTTTATATTAAAGAGTATCATATAATATATGTTCCTTTTTTTGACAGGGACATCCGATTCCTTTCATTCAATATAATTCTTTTAAGATTCACTTGTGTGTGTGTGTGGGGGGGGTCGGGACACAACGACCATGGCACAGACCTGTAATCCCAGCACTCAGGGAGGCAGAGGCAGGCAGATCTCTGTGAGTTTGAGGCCAGCCTGGTCTACAAAGTAAGACCAGGACAGCCAAGGCTACACAGAGAAACCCTGTCTAGAACACCACCAGATCCACTCATGTCACTGTTATGTGAACCAACATTTTACCTTCTGTGTACTATTCCAGTGAATGGACAGACCACACTCACATGGTGGATGTTTTGTTTGATTCCAGTTCTCAGCTATTGCAAAGTTTCAGTTATATAAAGTTGCTAGGAGCACTCAAAAGCATGCCTTTGTATGGGAATGTATTTTCATTTATCAGGCTAATACCTAGGACCAAAATGGCTGTCTTACTTTTTAAGAAACTGTCTAGCTTTTTCAAAGCACTTGTCCAATTTTATGTTCCCACCAGCCATGCGAAGTCTACGTAAACCAAATGTTAAATATTGATTGATTCTATATACGAAGCACAACCCACCATAAGGACATGTGTGGGTTCTCCAATTTCTATGCCTATGATGCCCAAGCCTTCACCTCCACCTGAGAAAACTTGGGCTGTAGCAAGGCCTTGTGGGAAGGAATAATGTGGTTTAGACACAGAAAAAAGTAGAACTTCTTGACCCCCCCCCCACTTCTTAGCTGTGTATTCACAACAGTGAGCACGCCATTTTTGCTTAAGTTCAACCCATTTGCAAGAACAGCCCAAACTGTCTCACTGCTTGAAAGTGGTACACACATCATCTTTGAAACTCCCTAAGGCATTAGAAAAGAGTCTTGAGTCTTAAGGGCTCCCTTTCCCCCTTTATCCCTGAAGTTGAGATAATATCATCTACCTTGCAAAACTGACTGAAGATTTGAGACGGCATCCCATATACATTACTCCCACTTCCTCTAGGAATCTGTCCCTGTGCTTGGCTAGACCATTGCCCCTCTTTCCCAAACTCAAAACACCTTGCAGTTTCTCTAGCACGTGCATACAGACCCTCCCAAATCGGCCATGGTTTTTGTTTTGTTTTTGAGACAGGGTTTCTCTGTGTAAGAGCTCTAGCTGTCCTGGAACTTGCTTTGTAGACCAGGCTGGCCTTGAACTCACAGAGATCCACCTGCCTCTCTCTCCTGAGGAGGGATTAAAAGCATATGCCCCCGTGCCCGACTATTTCTGTTTTTTAATGTGTTTGTTTGCTTACATGTGTGTATGTGCACCACGTATATGCCCACAGAGGCCAGAAGAGCAACTTTGGTTACAGATGGTCGTGAGCCACCATGTGGATGCTGGGAACGCGCACACACAAGCACAAGCATACACACACACACACACACACACACACACACACACACACACACACACACACACACATACGAATGAATTCCATCTACGCTGCTTATTAGATAGGGGTGCTTGAGGACATTAGTTGAATAAGTTTTTGAAAGCGCTTGGCACAAGGTCCTTGGCAGAGGCCAAAGGCAGCCGTCTCCCCAGCCCTAGAGAGCAGACACACGGACGAATGGTACCTTACCTCCTGTTTACGTAAGACCCAATAAATTTGCTCCCGGTGTACTGCATGTCAGCAGCTAGGCTCTAGCACTTAGACACCAACTTCAGGGAGGCAGGCCTCCCCGTCACTATAACAACCAGAAAAAGAGGGCGGAGACCAGATGAAGCCCCGCCTTGAGCCCTCGCTTGACTTCCCGGAATGGCGTACGCTCTCCTATCGGCCGCAGAGCAGTTGCGCTTGCGCGTCTCCGGAGACGCATGCGCAGATGGTGCAGGGCGCTCTCGGAGACCCAAAGGGGAATTGAAGGAGACGGGCGACGCGGCCGAGGGCACCTGGTCAGGGTCGCGGCTGCCGCCGTCATGCCGGGGATAGTGGAGCTGCCCACTCTGGAAGAGCTGAAAGTGGAAGAGGTGAGACTCACCCCGAGGGCAGGCGGGAGGCACGGGGCTGCAGCTGCCAGGCGGGCCCAGGCTCGGTCCTGGCCTCTGCTTACCTGCGCGATCACATCCCGCCGTGGCTCCAGACACCGTGCCGCCCACCGCGACCGGCCTCTCCTCCTGTGAATCGGAGTGGCACTTTCTATTAGCATCACCTAGCCCTTTGCTTTTCCTGCCCGTGAGGCGAGTATGCCAACCCAGACGCTCACCTTCCACGAAGCCTGTCAAAATCTCAATGCGGAGCAGGCCTGGGAGCTGCGGCCGCATACAGTGCCTGTTGGACAATGAGTCTGGCATGAGCCAGGGTTTTTGGTAACTGGACACGTTTAAAGCCTTTACCTCTTAAAGAGACACTTGAATATTCGATATGTACACATGCGATGGAAAATGAGAGACTGTTCTCCTTTCATAGTTTATAGGTAAAGAGGCTGTACAGCACAATGCTGTGAGGTAAAGGTGAAGTGTTACTGTAATTATTGCAAACACGATCAAGCCGTTTCTAAAGGCCAGGCTGCTAAGTACTTGAAACACACAGTAAGGTAGGATGTAACTGATCTTTCCTTGTAGACCAGAAGTAGGCCCCATAGGTAGAAGTGATTTGCCCAAGGTCACATAGACAGTGTGTGGAAGAGTTGTAACGGGAACCTGCATCTGTTCTGAAACACAGGCTGTTAGAGCTCTGAGCCAAAGTGCAGTAGAGTGAGGAAGGAGGCGTAGGACCATGTGTGTTGAGGAAGCTGAGAGCTAGCTGATTCAGCTGATGTTAGCAGTGATGGGCACCTAGAGAAGTTTGGACTTTATCCTGTGAGATGGTGGGAAAAGATGGATGTGTTAAGGCAGAAGGACTTGTCATGGCAGGCCCAAAAAACAGACTGGCGAGGCTAAAAGTTATATGATGGCACCGTGTTAAGTGTTTTCCCTTTATGTACTCCTTTATGTAGTCTCTTATAAACCTCTGAGGATGGCAGCTATTTTCATTTACCTCCGATGAAGAAACTGTTAGCTGTGCTCATGGGCTTTATATGAAAGTGACATTTACCAAGAGGTGACAAGAGGAATATTCCCATAAGCCAGTCTTCTTATTCTTATCCCACCATGAAACTGGTTAAACATGAGTTTACACATTTTGTTGAGTTTTAAATTTGGCTCAGCAGACATTTCATACAAGAGTTTTCTAGTAAATTTATCTTTAAAGTTTGCACAATTGATATCTGTAAGTATGTAAATAATTAAAGTTTATATAATTGATACATATAATTATGTAAATAACTAAAGACTGAAAGATTGGCGAGCACTGGTGATTTGATGTTGGATCTGACTTCTAGGCCTTTGGCGTGGGTACTCTGAGTAGCTTTTAGCACTTGTAGACAGGTATTTTGCTTGCAAGATGAAGTGACTTTGGCTATACAGTTCTCTAAGAGGACATAAAAGGGATAGAGAAAGCACACTTTAGGCTTACTGTACATGACATTTGAAGGTTGTCATTTTTATGGGTAGAGATGGAGAGAAAAATTAGGTAAAGGTAGAAAGTGAACAAGATAAGGTCATAGGGGAAGTCAGGGACCTGAATGTGGATTCCAGAGACAGTGAATTACGTTGAGAGAGCAGCACAGGCCCGTTTGAGAAGGTTGTGGAGACAGTTTGGACTCAGAAAGCCTTGAACAGCAAATAGGAAGCTGAGGTTCCACTGTGTTGCTAAGCATGACCCCTTCTGGGAGCTAGTTTCTGATTCATTGTAACAGCTGAGTGAAATAAGAATTGTTGTTTAGGAAGGTCACTTTAGCAGCTTTATAGAGACTAGATTGAAGAGCAAGAAATGCAGGAAGGCCAGCTCCAGTGGCTGATATAATAGCCCTGGTAACTGACAGCTGTGCTTAATGGAGTCAAAAAATCAGCACCTCATCTGAAATGAGGAGGTGCAAGGGTTGAAGAATCTAGGTCAGGTTTGCAATATGACGACAAACCCAGGGAGGCCAAGAGCAGCAGCAGCTTTGGGGAGCAGGTAAAAATCCATTCTGGACTTCGTTGACTGAGAAGTCATGTCACATCCCTACGGAAAAACATCCAGAAGCTTTGGGTTCAAAGTTCCTCGGGTGCGTTGATAATCTAGAGTAAAAGTTAAGCAGCAGCCAGTGTTGATGTTCATTTTATGTGTCAGGCACATTGTTAGCATTTTGTACAGATCTGAGTTCACTGGATCCTCAGAAGGTCCTATGAAATAGTACATTATGCCCCACTTTACATAAATAAGAAAACAGGCCTGCCATAAGTTAAGTACTATAAGAAGGGCTGCGGTCATGGCTTATAGAAGCAAGACAAGTATGGAAGATTTGGGGGCTTTGCTGTGATTGTGTCTGGCTCAGCTCTGCATACTTGCTGTCTTTGGAAGCTGACAGTGCAGAGCGGCTGTGTGAGGGCCAATGAGGAAGGATGCTGAAACTCTGTACTCTGGAGACAAAGGATGCTGTATGAATTTGAGTGGGCACTGCTGGATATGATCAGTTATGAAGAAGCAGGTGAGGGAACACAGTTACATCTCAAGTTCTCTTCTCTCTTGGTGATGGTGCCGTGCCAAAGGCCCGATGAGAGGCTTCAGTATCTGGGTTCCAGTTCTGGGGCCGGCCGGCATGTCATCGCAAGTGCATCTGTTTATTGCCGTTTAGGAATTGGCTCAGTGAATGTGTCTCACCTCTGTTTCCCTGTGACAGCACGAATAGATCTTCATTTTGATAAGACTGCCACCTGTGTAGGGAAATAAAGCAACTAATGCTGCAGGCTTTGGAGGGCTGCTGTCTTAAGGATTTAAGTAACCAAATCAGTCATTTAAAGATAGTTTTTGAGACATCTGGCCAGCAGGTAAAATGGTGTTCAGTTTTTTAATAAAAGTTTTTTTTTTTTTTATTTCTTTATTTTATGTGTATGAATGTTTTTGGCTGCGTGGATGTATGTGCCCACACTTATACCTGGTTCCCATGAGAGCCAGAAGAGGGCATCAGATCCCCTGGAGCTAGAGTTACAGGTGGTTTCAATCTCCCATGTGGGTGCTGAGAATTGAACCCAGGTCCTCTGGAAGAGCAGACTGTGCTCTAAACCACTGAGCAAGACTGGAAGCACATGCTTGTAATTCCAGCTCTAGGGAGGCTGAGGCAGGAAGATTGAGAGGATTGACCTACATATTTCAAAGCCAGCCTGGACTACTTCAAGAGTGTCTCCAAAAGCCAGACACAAAACCAAAAAGGTTGACTACCTGTTATTTTTCCGACTGGCTATAGGTAATAAAACAAGCAAATATGTCCCAAAATACAAACATTTACAGATTTGGGATATAAATTTGTTAGAGTTGCCATGGCAGTTTTCTCTTAAGCTGACCTTTGATTGATAGCTGCAGTAGTATAATGTTGGTGAGCAGTCCTGGCTCTAGCCTCCTTCCGGTAGGGCAGTGGTTCTGAGGCTGTGGGTGGTGACCCTCAGAGATGACACTAAGAGTCACCACAGCCTGAGGAGAAACTGTATTAAAGGGCTGCGGCATTAGGAAGGTGGAGAACCGCTGCTGTGGGCTATAGGTGCGTCTCTCGCTTCTTTCCCCAACATTTTTCTTATTAGTGATTTATATGTATAAGCTGCGTAAAGATAAGACTATAGACTTTTCTCATGTTAAAAGCCTCAGGTTTTTAAAAGTCCAGTTCAGTAGTGTAGTAAAATACGGTAGCCTGACAGACTGGGTTTTAGGAAACATGCTAATATCCTCTGTCACATTTCTCAGTTGATCAGGAATCTGAAAATTCCTTGGTGGGGCAAACAGCAACAATAAAGCCAAAGCACGCTAGATCAGAAAGACGCTCTCTGAACAGGACTCTCAGACAGGCCCACCCAGATGCCAGTACCCCACCCTGCTCTTTAAAGTTTAGGCTTAGGAAGTTGCCCATGGCACAGCTGGTGACCAGTGTTCACTTGCAGGCTGAGGTAGAACCAGAAGAATTAGAAGAGAAACAGAGGACCCAAAATGAAAAGTGAAAATAAAGGTAAGTTCTCCCAGATACCAGAATGCTTTGTCTGGTTCCAGTAATTGAAAATTGTAGTTTTTGGCATAGGCTGAGACTCTAGAGCAGGGAGCTGGGCCCTCGACTCAGCAGTTCCTTGTGTTCGAGCTGCCTACACCGCACTGGGATGCTCAAGAAAGAAGGCAAGCAAGGGAGTCTCTCATGGTCACAGTGCAGGAGTTCAGCATCAACATGGGCCGATTCCAGGACTTCGTTCTTAGTAATAATTTGCCAGGCTATGAGCTCCTGCTATTCCCTCGCCTTGCTTACTCTATGATTCCCCAGCCCTCTAGGAGTTTCTGATGTTCTTGTATGTATGATTCACTTCATTCCTGGAGAGAAACTGTAGCAACATCGACAGGGTTGTTTCAAGCAAGATTCTGTAGGGTCGCCACCTTCATCTCTAAGAGAAAATGGGATGGTTCTGTCAGCCTACGAAGACACGTGGGAGAGCTGGGATAGCCCAGGCACTCAGCTGGAAGGAATCACGACCCAGAACAGTAGTACTTCTTGTGTGTTCCTCTGTTCCAGCCAGCTCGGTGATGAGGCAGACATACCCAGACTAGTGTGTGACTCCCCTCTGCGTTGTTTTCCCAGGTGAAAGTCAGCTCAGCCGTGCTTAAAGCTGCCGCCCATCACTATGGAGCTCAGTGTGATAAGGCCAATAAGGAGTTCATGCTATGCCGTTGGGAAGAGAAGGACCCGAGGCGCTGCCTGAAGGAGGGCAAG